TACCCAATTTTACAAAATGATGCACAGATGTTAAATAATGCTTATCTTTTGTTAACTAAGGGAAATTATTCCTCATTTTCTTTTATTGTTCCAGGGACTCATAATCATGAACCACAGAGTGTGTAGAGAACTCTGATTTTTATGTGATTTGTGTGTGTGTAAGTCAATTAAACTTACTGATGTTTCATACTTTTTAATATATCAAAGGGGTGATGGGGGTATGAAGGAGGCACTAACTGATTCACTGTTTACTTGTTTCTATCCAGTGGATCATTGTCAGGTCATATATAACCTTTTCTCCCTACATCCTTGTTTCTTATTTTCATAAATTAATAGGTCAGAAAACACTCTAGCTGAGTTGTAAATACTTACATAGGTCCCAATCAAACTAACCTGTATGTTTTCTTCTCCCCCTTCCTTCAAATCTAGCTCCATCATTTTAAAACCCTTTAATTCTAGACCACAATCCTGTATGTGTTTTCCTATGGCTGACACGAGTTATTCATCTACCAAATGCTTTTTGAGTATCTACTATATGCCACACACTCCCCTAGATACTGATTACATAGAAATGAATAAAACAAAACAACAATGTGTGCCTTCACAGACCATATCTGTAATGGGTGAGTCATACAATACAATAATAAAGTGAATGTGCATCATGTTGGATAAATCTAAGGACAACACATTATTCACCAGAAAATCTGGGAAGGGGCAGAAGTTTGGGGGGAGCACGTGCAATGTGCAAGTGGAAGACCCTCTCAAAAAAAGGGTGGTCTTTGAGTAAAGATCTGAAAAAACTCAGGGCATAAGTGATGCAGATATCTGAGTAAAAGTGTTTTAAGTAGCTGGAATAGCAAGGGCAATGGCCCTGTGGCAGGTGTGTGCAGGTACGTGGCCACCCTGGAGGTGCCAATTTGGAGGTGAGGGGTGAGCTGGAGGAGGCAGAGCAACGTAGAGATGGAGAGCTTCACTGGGATGAAAGCATCAGATATTGCTATGGACACTGGTACCTGTGCCAGCCGAGTTGGGGGCCAGTGGCTAAGAGAGGTGGGATGTGCTGTGATTTGCAGTATTATTTTGCTTGAAGGGGTGTGAGGGCCAGTGCAGGGAGACTAAACCCCAAGTTGATGTAGCCATCCAGTTGAGAGACCATGACACTTGCGACCCTGGTGGTACTTGTGGGACAGGCCAGATGTGGCTAAGGCAGAAGCACAAGTTCAGATTTGGACCTGTTGATTTGAGAGGTGCCTTCCTCCAAGCAGGTCTAGTAAATAGGCAAATGGGATCTACTTGTTTGGAGTTCAAGAGAGAATTGAGATAGGCTAAATATGATTAGTCGTATCACGAATTCAAGTTTGCCTGCTAACTGGATATAAGAGGACAGAAAGGAAGTTTACACATTCCGTTCATATCAAACATGTTCTTCTAACATGTTCATCAAACTCCTCTAGATACAATCAATCATAATTGATTTTTGTGTGGCAAAAGACTTACCGAATGTTCTCCCCAAATTCCACTTAAATCTCATTGGTTTTGAGATTTAAACAGTTGTGAATAAGTAGTAGTTGATTTGAAATTTGCCTTTTGTTTACATTTGAACAACAGCTTTGTGATAAATCAATACTCTGTAGAAGATAATGAAGGGGTTACTGAATCTGTTATAGAAAACTACTTCTTCTCCTCTTGGAAGAGGCTTATAAACTGTGCCCCATTTTTGTCTAAAGGATACTTTCTTTCAATATTCTAGTAGGCATTACTTTATCATTAATGAATTGTGGCTACGTCATGCATTATTTTAGAATGAAGCTACCTATACATAAAAAGCTACGCAAACACATCTTTTCAGAAAACCCACTTTTAGTCTTAGCAACACTTTACTGTGTTACCCCCTAGTTTGCCTTAAGGGCAAACTATGCAATTTAGGCACAAAAAGGGGAAGGTAAGAATACGTGGAGAAACCCGAACCCAAATTTCACCTGGTTGAGGACAAAGCTAAATGCACACACAAAAACTCCGCCACATGGGAAGGTGGAGAAAATGAAAACATTTGCAAAGGTATTTATTGAGAAATAGTAAAGATGTACATATTTTTACAAGCTTTTAATATTAATTTACATTTCTTTAAATTATGTAGGCCCCGATAATCTATATTTTACTAATATATAACAGAAACCCTTGACTTTGTGAGATTTCCGCCACGATGTCATAATTGGGAGTCAAAATGCAACTTTGGCTCATGATGCTTGAGTTTGTTCTTAAAAGAAATACTAAATGCCATATTCACTGAGAATATGTCATAAAGAAATGTGCTTTAAGAAAAAAAGAAAAAACTTCATACTGGAGCATGCTGTGGACACTATTTTGAATCTTAGCTCACCAAAGATTAAGGAAGAAACAATTTTAGAGAGAGTTATTACCTACCTTTGTGCACAAACTGCACGACTCTAACTTTTTTTTTTTTTTTTGCCTCTGAATTTGATTTACAAATTTTTGCAGGGGTATGGTGTCTTAATCATATGCTATAATATTGCAGCCAGGCCACCTATTTTGTTACTGAAATTACATGGTTTTGATTATTTTTAAGGTGCAACGCAAGGTGGTTCTCTTTCCTAGCGATCTACCAAGTTGATATACGGAGTAGCCGAAAACCCATCTCAGTTATAGAACATTCTCCGAACCAGTTTACAATAAGGCACAGTATTTTCTATATAAATAGAACATGGGAATTGCCAAATGGGCTGCTTTTTTGTTTGTTGGTTTATGTTTTGTTTTTCAAATCAGAAAGGAAGAGGAATCGCTTTTCCTAAGGTGAGAAGGGAAGAGATCTAGTTGAAGTACGCTCAAAGTCACCTGACCAAGTTGTGACTGTGATGCTGGCCCGCTGGCCTGCACCAGCGTTGTGCCAGACAAGCTGTTCTCCATCAGCCTAGCACTTAGGTTTTATGTTGGCAGCCTCGTCTGAATACAGACTCAGAAAAACAGGTTGTGTGTGCGGAACGGCACTGGGCAATGCAATCAGTCAGCTTCTCTTTGCCCTCTGAAGGGGTGTTTCTTTCTGCACCTGCAGGTATAGCAGCATAAGAAGCCTTGCTTGCTTGATATAAAAAAGAATTAAAAATTTGTATGTAATTCCACAATTCTATCATTTCAAGAAACCAGCTATACAGTAAAGATCATTTTGGGTTATTTTTTTCACAGTAATAAATATTTCCGGTTTTAGTGCACAAAATAGTGAAGTACTGATAATCAATGCAATACTTACATTTTTAAAACTGCTATTTTCAAGCTAAAGGGCAAGAGAAGATTTATTAGTATGATTCTTAAAAGTATTCCAACCTTAATTTATCTGGTACACTACTTGGGGTAGAGGTAACCCCAAAACTACAAAATTTAAAGGGTGTGTTAAGGTTTGTGTGATGAAATCACAATCTTGTGCAAAATTGGGATCTCATTATCTTTCTGCCCAGCACAAATATGGCTTTAACATTTGCTAAAGAAATACAGATTCAGAGCCCAAAGAAATGAAATCGTATTTCCATGGTGAACATTATGATCTGTGAGCAAAGTGTGGACCTACTGAAGCCACAGAAGCCTCAGGTGGTGAACCAGCATGAACGAGTCTCTGGGTAGGGACAGTGACCACTAACTCCCTGGACTTCGCGATCCCCATTATGACATTTTAAACACAGAACTGCAGGTGCAGACACCATTAAAATACTCTAGATCTTAAAGTCTTAATTTTCCACAATGGAAAATCTTGTCACAGGAAATGACAGGAGACCCTGTCAGTATTCTCAGTATTGGCTACACACCAAGAAAAAGACACCTGCAAACACAAGGACAACAGGTCTCCTTGCAACGAATGCTGCCCACCGTGCCTAACAGCACAGGCAGAGATGCACCTTTGCAAGACTGTGACGAAAAGAATCTGCATTGAAGTGTTAAGACTGGGACCCAGGTACTGCTTTACTGCTGTGATTTCAGTAACGTTGCCAAGATCCAGCTCACTTGCTCATTCACCTTGTGATGGCATTCGAGGTAAAAAGCCTATAGACTCACTTTTCTCATTAGGAGCCATCTGGGGCATCTGCCTTCCATTACTGATGACACATCATTTCACAACGGCTTTGGGAATAAACACCTAACTCCACTGGAAGCCATGTTCATGCAATGTGGATTTTAAGCCCTGTCCAGGGCATATTCTCAAAAAGGTTGGGTGGTATTTCTTAACGATTTGCATGACAGTATCTTTCTCTATGCAACTTACACATATCGAATGGTCTCAAAATCAAAACTGGGCAAGTCATCACGAATATGGCTCTTAGTTTTCTCCAGTAAAATGGTAGAAGGGGTACTTGAGACTTCTACATACATTGTGCTTTCTAAGTAAAGGTCCCGCAGTCTTTCCCAAACCTTCTGCTATGGTTGGATGCACAAATAGTTGCCTCATACAATTATTGGAATTATTGAGAATCCAAATAAAACACAAGCTTTCCTTTATTATCATGGTTGTTTTCTTATTGCAACAAATACTCAGTTTCTGCTGATGAAGTATTAAGGTTTGATAGCTTGAATTTTAAATTTGGTCATGTTAAGAATTATCAAAAAGGTTTTTGCTTTTCATTATCTACAGAGATTTTTTTTTTTTAAACCAAAGTTACATTGTAACACACAAACGCTGTCTTGTCTTTAAGGCACAACACATCAGTATGGACATTCTGGTTGCCAAACTTAAAAAAGAGACAATATTATATTCCCATTTCCCCTCCCTTTCCCCTCCCAGACAAATGAAAGAAAAATTGCATCCACTTTCAAAGTCAGCTGCTAATAAAGTCACAGTAAATTATTTTCATCCATAATTTACACAAATTACAGGTCTAGATAGGACTGTCCTTATCCAGGCTGAGTGCATTCCAATTCAGATTTTCTGGGCTAGGTAGGCTAAAGTCAGATTCAAACCTCAGGGCTGAGAAGATCTCCCATTGTGAGGAATGTAGTTGACCACCTTGTCGGATGGAGCAGGTGTGCGGCTGCTTTGCCGGGGTAAGAGTTCTTTGCCAAAGCTGTTAATTCCAGTTAGGACTCATTTGGTTTGGACCAGCAACCTCCACAGATTTTTTTTTTTTTGAACCATTAAAGTGTTGTAAATATAAGACCATAGAGTTTTCTTTCTGTAGCACTAAAGTTTAATTCCATTCAGCCATCTGAATTCTTCATTCTGGAATCTTCATTCCAAATGTGATTTCATCCTTTAAGACAATTTATATGTGTAGAGCCAGAGGCATTGAATCACACATAAAAATTCAGTGTACTTGAAATATAAAAGACGGATCTCCGGCTGGAGAACACAGTTTACAAATACTCTAATTCCAGTGCTTGATGTAGAGCCAAGAGGTCTGAGTGACTTGATATTCTCCAAAAGGGCATGTTGTGCTGTGTGGTTAAGACAGGAGAGCAGAAGAGGGGAGGGGATGAGGAATGGAGAGAGATCATGAACATTGTCTCAGTGAAGCAGCAGTGCACACAAGGGTGTGCAGTCCACCCAAGTTCAAGGGAGGGGGTTCAAAAGGAGGGGTGACCACGTCTGAAGGCTTGGCATCGTCAAACTAATAAATAGATCTGAACTGGATTTTAGTCATAATAAATGAAATGTTTCAGGCTCTTTACTATTTATTCTAACATGCATCGTTACCAACATCAACATCTGGAAAATCAAGCTGGCATCAAAATCCTCCCCGGCTGATGGGAAGCAAGTTTTTGTTGATGTTGTTTTGAGACAGAGTCTTGCTCTGTCACCCAGGCTAGAATGCAGTGGCGTCATCATAACTTACTGCAACCTCAAGTTCCTGGGCTCAAGTGATCCCTCCTACCTCAGCCTCCCAAGTAGCTGGGACTGAAGGTGTGTGCCACCACATCCAGCTAAGTTCTCTATTTTTTGTAGAGACAGGGCCTCACTCTTGCTCAGGCTGGTCTTGAGCTCCTGACCTCGACTGATCCTCCAGCCTCAGCCTCTCAAAGTGCTAGGATTACAGGCATGAGCCACCACACTTGGCCAAAAGCAAGTTTTAATCAATGCATCACTCCTAAAGGTCCATCTCTCAGTTTAAAATAAAATACAATGATAAACTTCTTGAGCCCTAAACTTTCCTTTTTGTTGTTGTTGTTGTTTTGTCGAGACAGAGTCCTACTCTATGCCCTGAGCAGAGTGCAATGGTGTCACAGCTCACTGCAACCTCAGACTCTGGCTGTAGGCATTCTGCAGCCTCCAAAGCTGCTGGGATTACAGGTGCTTGCCAAGGCACCTGGCTGGGTTTTTCCATTTTTTTCATGAATTGGGGGTCTTACTCTGGTTCAGACAAGCCTCAAACTCCTGAGCTCAAGCAGTCCTCCAGCCTCAGCCTCCCACAGTGCTGGGATTACAGGCATGATTTATTGAAGAGAAAAAGAGGGTAAATTCCCTTCTATGTAAAAAATAATTTGAAGCTGGATTATTTAAAGTAGGAAGAAATGTGAGAATAACCTTCTTACTTGTTTGGGATTGCTAATAACTTAAGCCAGTGCAGTCAACCTGATTTATCTCACTGGCATGGAGTGGAGAGAAAGTCCTGTAACATACATTTTGGGGGGGGGGATGGGGTAAGATATTCCTAAGGGGACAAAAGCAGGTTCTTGTGGAGCAGAGTATCTTAGCTACTACAGTGGTTTGTGGCCTTCCAAAGATATATCAGTATATAGCGTATATGTGGATTTAAAATTTCATAAAAGGTGGCAATGAGGATAAAAAGTCTAAAAGGACCCCACTGGGGAAGATAATGAAAAAAAGAAAACAGGATGATGAGTTTGAGCAGAGGGCACCCCCCAGATTACATATGCATGAAACATATGTTCATGTATGTAACAGAAACACATACATAGGAAACATGGCCAGGACTTTAAAAAATTAAGCATTGTAATAATTTTTACAACTGCTATATAACTCTGTGCTGCCTAATATAGTAGCCACTGGCCACATGGGACTATTTGGCACCCAAAATGCAGTTAGTCCAGTTTAAAATACAGACTGAATTTCAAAGCCTGAGAACAACAAAAAAAATGTAACCATCACATCAATAATTTTTACATTGAGTAGGTGTTGAGATGATAATGTTCTGAATAAATTGGATTAATTAAAAATATATAGTATTAAAATCAGTTCTACCTGTTTCTTTTTACATTTTAAGAATGTGGCTTCTAAGACATTTTCAATTCCATATGCAGCCCACATTACGTATTTCTATAGGAGTGAGAAGTTATACGTACTTATTCTGAAACTTTGAGATCTCTTCTTAAATTTCTCAAATAGTATATGTTAGGGCAAACTAAAGCACAGAAATTCACCCAGAAGTGACCTTTTTTTACTTTTTTTTGGATTCAGCTCAGATCTATTTGTAATAACAAAACAGTATTTAATACTTCTACACATGCGATTACTGCTACATCCAAAGAAAAGCATGCATTTTGGGTACTAGAGAAACCAACCACCTGTGTTTCAAAATAGAATTATAAGACTTCACCATCACCAAAACTGTACCTACATAAACAACCATTTGGAAATAGCATTCATTCTATCTGAGACTCTTATCCATTTGGATCCACATCTTTTTCTCTTGAAGTTTCGGGTGGAAAGCAAGTCTAGCTTTCACACCGTGGATAACTCGAGGTAAAACTCAGTCAGTTTTAACTGTCAAAGGCATATACTGTAATTGGTTTGGAAAAGGGAATTATATCACTCCTTACCTGGACACATGTGAATTTCACATAGGCTAAAAGACGTATAAATGTTCCCTGGAGTGGCCACATCATTAACTGCTATTGGTTGTGTGTAATTATGGTGCCAATATGAAAAATCAAAACGACATAGACTCAGGACATTGACAAACTCCAGATATTCCAATTGCACATGACTGGAAACATTTCAAGCAGCAGTCAGTCATGAAAGTTGTTTTTTGAGGTTGCAGTCTTGACCTCATACAAAACGTTGTGGGGCCGGTGTGCTGTCTTGGGTCACTGACACTGCTGGTGAAGACCGAGGCGCTCTGTGGGAGGCAGAGTCTGCACCCCGCTCTCTTAATGGTATGGAAAATCATGGACAATTTCAAGTATGGCTGCCAACACTGTCACAAAACCTTCTAAAATGGAAAAGCTTTTCCTTTTTCCTGATTTTGCTTGATTTAAATGTACCAGAAACACAAATTGTTTCCTTTCTCTTTCTATCATAGCCATGAACTTTTCTACAAAAGTGTTTATGTTGATTTTTTTTTTTTGGAAATTAGAAATCAGCTAAGCACTCCAGCACAAGAGTTTGGTGAAGGCTTTATTAGATGACAATTTAATATTTCCTTGAGATAATAAGGAACATATTCTTTCTATGTAAAACAATGATAATTTTATTGTTTAAAATATCAATTCATCATTTTCCTTTGTTTTTTAAATTCTATCTTGGCTGGATGGCATTTCATTATTACTCAGGGAAGGAAACAGATTTTGGTATTGTTTTGAGTGGCAGTGTGGTGTCAGGGGCCAATTCTGATAGCATTCTTCTTTAGATACTGAACCAAACATTTAATGGTTTTTAACTGCCTTTGTCTCTTCTTCAGAAATATGGGCCAGATGAAAAGCCTTATTTAAATACTTAGATAAGCCTATGAGGTCTTCTGAGTATGCTCAAAGCCAGGCTTCAATCATGGGTCAATGGCTCACCAAACCAGATGCACTTCTTCTGGAAGAGGTGAGGCACTTTGCCTTTAAGACAAGTTGGCATAACAGGATCTGAGTAACAACTCATTCCAATAGTATTGATTAAAATCACTTACAGAGGCTTTTCTACAGCTATTAAATCCAACCTTGGCTTTCACCATCATGGAGCATACTTGTTTTAGGCGCTCCCAAAGATCACATGGTCTAGGAGACTCATGAGCCACTCACACAATTTCTGCATGGAGCTCATTCGACTTCTTTATCTTGTTAAATTTCAGTGCTTAACAATGGTTATTTCCCCCATCTTCCCTAAGTCATCTATATCTGGATGAATTACGTGTTAAATTTATTAGGTACACATACACAAATATCTATTTTCATTAAATTTTCTTCATACACACAGACAGTCAGATATAGATAGAACTAAATTTTCCTGCTTTTCCCATCAATTTCAGGCAAAAAATGCTAGACTCCAAATGGTTTATTTGAATGTAAGTATTGACCCTCTCATGCTCTTATTGCTTTGCGTCTATGAATTTCAATCTTTTGTCAAGCTGCCATTGGGCCAAACTACAGAAATGCAAACAAAAAGGCTTGCATCAGAAGTATCACACCGACATTGTTGGAGACAGGTTACCTTTTTTGCTGCCTGTTCTTCTTCTACACCATCCCCAATTACAACATACACTACTTTTCTGCCAAACCTTTGCATTATTCGTTCAAAGCAACTTTCTTTTCCTGGAAGATAAACGAGATAAAGTTCAGAGTGAAGTTACCTGGTTAGCGGCATGCTCCTCATCTCGGCCATCTCCAATCACAACATAAGTTATGTTAGTGCCAAATCTGGACACTATACGCTCAAAACAGCTTTCCTTGCCTGAAAAACAATGCACTGCTTATTCTTCCAGCCATTCCATTCATTAACCTAAAGATTCATAAAGTGTTAATGTCTCTTGAACATCTCTTGAACTAGCTTACAGCCTCTGGGTTTATGAAATCGACACACGTGCTTGAATAACATAAATCTTTACTTAGGACAGATTTTCAACAAATGTGTTTCGTGCTTCAAAAATGTCACAAGGGTTAAGCACTGGACCTACAGAAAATGTTCGCATGTTTTACTCCACCAAAAGAGGACTGGGCCAACTTTATTACAGGCAACTATGTGTTTTTAACAACCTTTGTTGTTTAATTCTGCATATCAATTTTATCTAATTTATTTTAAGTAGCATAGATAAGGGAGTCGAATATGTTATTCTGAAAAGTCCTGAAGGTTCACCTCCAAAGAGAGAAGGAATACTAAGGTGTGGATTTGCCTTGATGAACAACTCCTTTCTTCAAGTGGGTGAGAGCTAGTCTGCTCAGCACTTGCACTAAGGGTGCTGTCCGATGAGGCCACAGCACTGGTAAGACTGGTAGCCTGTGACTGCACTAAGGGAACACCACCATGCAATTTCTACCTGGTCTTTTTTTCAACCCTGGTATTATTCTCTAAATTTCATTCTTAGAATTTCATATATCCATGGCTACTTTTGTCTTTTTACTTAATCTGATAGTTCAAAACGCCAAAAAAAAAAAAAAAAAAAAAAATTCTAGCTTGAAGGGGACAAATAAAAGTAATTTGTTTCTGATTAAATATAAGGGACAATATTGCCCATAAAAAAGAATATTTCCTTAACTAAAATAAATGTTTATCTTGGTATAAAGTTATTTGGTTTGCCATAAAGCAAAATTACCTTTTATGCAGTAACACTGCTAACATAAATACATTTAAATAAAAAGTGTCTGGCACTGCTGTCCAGGCTCTGAACTTCAGTGCTCAGACAATGTGGAATTTACTTTATGGAATGGCTCTCTTAAACTCTACTGGAACAGCTGCACCTGGGGGCTCCGTTGCCAGAGCCAATATCAGACCTCCTCAAGGGCCAAGGAAAGTTATTTTTGGTGGGGGATTTTAGGATTTTGAAGCTTTCTTGTCAGTGTGCCAGGCCTAAGTTTGTTGACCTTCAGGGCACATTACACAACCCATTTATTTTCTCAGGCATTTCCTTGACAGACAGTGGAAGACATGAGCAGTTTTCTTTTAACTCTTTCAAGATAGCAGAAGCTGATGAAGTTGTATTTTTGAATGTTTACTAGCATTCTGAATCTGTGAAAGCCACTTAGAGTCCAAGATGACTCCACAGTTAGCTAATAACTAAATAAACAAGGGGGTAGTTCTTGGATCGCTACTGCATACTTTTGGAGATGTGGATTTTCAGCCACTCATCGTGTGTTATGAATATTCTATTTTGTTTTCCTATTTATGAAATTTTTTATTTTTCCCCCATAATTAAGCATACTAGTTCAATCCATCCAAGACCCCCATGTAATGCCAAAACTGCATTTTTATCTTGGCTCTAGATGATTGTGTATGCAGGGATATAATACTATACCCCATTCTAATGAAACTATTAAATACCATGGCTGGAGATACTACATGTGATTTAGATAACATGTGCTGAAATGTTCTGTGAAATATATAGAGCTACCCAGATACTGAGTTCAGAATTTTACCATCTAACAGTCTTAGTAAAATTCATCACATACATACAGGGAGTTGTAGAAGACTCTCCAACTTTATCCAAATTTGCTTCGTGTATTAACAATGAAATTATGGGAAAGGGAGCCATGCAGAGGCACACAGACATGGACACGTTCCATACAGAGTTTAAAACAACTTCTTTACCTATTTTAGTTGCACTGTAAATATTCTCAATGGGGAAAGCACCGCCTAAACTATAGAGCAGGACCTTCGCGAGCGCTGGGATCAGCTGGGTTGTTGTTACCAAGACATTCACGCAGTTACTCCTAAAACAGGGAGAAAATACATACATCTGTTTTCTAACACTAAATAATGCGTAATAGATTTAAAATTGTCACTGGGGTCTCTAAATTCCGTAATAAGTGTGCCCTTTGAGTATTCAGAAGTTACTGCCTATTAGCAGCTACTCACCAAATCATGGCAGATCATTCAGAATGAAACACAAGTCCACAACTGTATTGTGACACTTAAAGTTCTACATTATATTTTGTCAAAATAATGTACTATTTAAAGTCATGTACAGGTAAAAGTTACAGAATGCAAACATGGTGTACAACGATGAAGCATGGCCTTTTGGAGTTTAGAGATGTGGGGTTTTGATCCGAAGTCTCACCACTTACACTGTGTGCTATTCAGTGACATCATTTCCGTTTAAATTACAAACATTTTATATATTTTTAATAGAAAATTTAAGAAAGACAGAAAATATGAAGAAGGAAATGAAAAGAATTAATTGTTATTCAACTACCTGGAGAACTACCTACCTTGTTCTGTCCGTTTTATCCATTTACTATTATCTTTTTATGTTTTATAGTATATCTTTTTTTATTAAATCATAGTTGTGCACATTAATGCTATCATGGGGTACAGTGTGTTGTTTCCATATACAATTTGAAATATTCTCATCCAATTGGCCAACATAGCCTTCATGTCATTCTCATAGTTGTTGTGTTAAGACATTTATATTCCACATTTAGAAGGATTCACATATACCCTTATAGGATAGATCATAGGCATGATCCCAACAATCCCCCTCCCTTCACCCATCCTCCCCTCTCCCCTCTCTGCCCTCTCCCCTTTTCCTGTATTCTTGGGCTAAAATTGGGTTATAGCTTTCCTATGATAGCTAACTATTAGTTTCATAGTAGGGTTGAGTACATTGGATACTTTTTCTTCCATTCTTGAAATACTTTGCTAAGAAGAACATTTTCCAGCTCCATCCATGTAAACAAGAAGGAGGTAAAGTCTCCATCTTTCTTTATGGCTGCATAGTATTCCATGGTGTACATGTGCACTTATTTTTAGTGTTTCTGTTTGTATAGAGGTTTTTTTCTCCTCATTAGGATCATATAATTTCGTATTGGGTTTTATTTATTGTAATATCCTGAGCCTATTAGTTGATATCATCTATTATTTCCCCTCTCCCAACACAACAATGTGTGCCAATACTCTACCATGTAGATGCACCAGAATTTTTTAAAGCTAAATTTAGTTGATTAGATGGCTTTTGATTCTGTAAATATCAGAAATAATGCGCCCTAAATTTCTTCATACATCTTTGGCCTTAGACTATGCTCATAGAACAAGAATTAGGGTTAGAGGGTCACTAAAGTTTGCTAAAGGCTCTGACACACAATTCAACAGAGCTTCTATTTTTCTGACCTCGTGGGCAGTCTGCAAAAGCTGCCAATATATAGATTATAATTTAATAAGTATAATTTAATGAAACATAATCTTAAAATTTCCACATCATTTAAATATTCAATGCATAATGATTTCTTTTTCTTCTCTCCTTTATAAATTTCTTAAAATCTAGATCCCTGTAGTTGCTTTAAGGGATCTATGTTTAAAAATCTGTATATATTATATATAATGCAATGAATGTAGCCTATAAATAATGATCTTTGTTTTTTAACTACTTAGGAGACATCTCTTAGAAATAGTGAAGGCTGCTGACCTTCCTCCTCTGAGAAATCTACCTTCCGCTACATTTTATATACGATTGCAGGGGCTCAAGAGTCCTCCCGCTCCAGCTTACCAGATCTTTGCTCTCTCTGTCACCAGTGACAGAGATGGCAAGACAGTAAGTCACATTTTCCAGCAGCTTTCATTATAGGTAATATTTCCTCACATGGAGCCAGAATCTTCCTTCCCAGGATTCCTACTCACTGGTCCTAATTCTTTCCTTTATAGATACAGAAAAACCTAATGTGTTTTCAGCTTAATGTCTCACATAGCGGGGACCTGTAATCTGGCTCCACATCTGAATCAGCTGACCGAGCTCTCTGGCTCCTCCTTCCAGCTGTTTCTTTTGCCTGGCTCCCCTGGTCCAAACCCCTGTGACTACTGTGCTGAATGCAGGCCGCTTCAACTCTGTCACAGCCCCTGCTGGAATACGATGTCAAAGATCTCAGCAAAATACTGTGCTGCGGGTTCCCAAAGCCAACCCGCAAAGCTTCTTTCCTCGTCTGTTCTCCATTCAGACTTCCTGCCATCAAGCAGCTGGTGCTCGTGCTACAGGGTCAGCAGCCATGTGCAGGATTTCACACACACTCATTCACTCTCATGTTCTTCATATGGGGCTCTTTTGACCTGCTGAGCCTTTTCCGTATCCTGATTCAGTCTCTTTCCCCAAATGCTGTATTACCGACACATTTGCTAAGCATTCTTTCATTTACTCATCTAACTCAGAAATCCAACCACGGAAGTGGACAGTGCAGAGATTCACCCTCCCCTCGCTACCTGTCACTTTCCAGATTCATATTACTTTGTGAATTCGCATGTGTAACATGTGGTTGTTCAACCAGTTATCTATCAATTTAATTCTATCATCTCCGATTTCACTGTTTAGTTCAGAACACAGTCAGAATTTCACTGTTTAGTTCAAAGAACACAAAGTCTAGAGTTTTTTTTCGAGAGTTTGTTCTTGCTTTTCTGATGCATTTAAATCATGTGTATTATCTACCATGGCCTAAAAGCCTAACACCTGCATTCTTTGTAGAAACAGTACTGTTTTATTTCTGTTTCACCCCGTGTACTTGGCCACCAACGATGCACTCTTTCTTTTTCAGAAGAAGTCATGTGGGGATCATCAGTGGTTATAAAGAGAGATATGGAGAGAGGATCTCTCAGTTATTCTGAGAAGCAGCAACTCTCACCCAAACACACACACACAGAGAAACTGAAAATCACTAGACTTGGAATTGTCATGTCCCTTTAAACTCTACAACAATCTAGGAATTAAAACATTTTGACGTATATTGTGTAATTAGAACTAAGTCTTCAAAACAATAAACATAGAAATGGCAACAATTTCACTTACCTCGTACTAATAATTGATAAAGACTTAAGTGCATTGGTTAGCCAGGAATCTGTCAGACCTTCGATCTCTGCCCTTAACTGTAGCCAGGCGTCCCTCTTGGCAGGGCCAAGGAGTCCTGTGACAGGAAAAGGCAGGCAGAGTCAAGCAGTGAATTTTTTTTTTTTTTTTCAGATATCCAGTCTGGACTCCCTTCTATCCTGTATAGATATTTTTCTTATTCAGTCTCTATGAGAAATGAAGATATATATTTATACCAATATTGATCCTTCTTTTCTGAATTGGCTATCCACTCATCTATTCAACGAATTAAAGAACTTCTCGGTGGCAGGCACTGGGCTAAACAGTAGGGATAGAGAGTTTTTCTTCTGGTGCTCGTGCTACAGGGTAGTACGGAGGGTGCCCTCTGTCAACTAGGACTTGATGCAGTAGAATCCAATCACCTGAAGAGCTTTGAAAACGCCCGTGCCCAAGTCTCATTCTAAAGGACTGGGCTGTCGAGTCTGGAGGTACAGTCAGGTTCTACCGGCCTAGGGACACAAACCTCGAGTATTTGGCTGTCTGAAAGGTTTCTTAATAATCACAATCATGCTTACTGTGAAACAGTAACAATGACATTATTAAAGGTAGCTACTGGAATTTTTCTAATCCTAGTGCTAATGCTATTATACTTTGTTTTGTAAAAAGAAATTTAAATTGTGTGCATGATACAGGTATAGATGATGATGGACAACTACGATGTTATAGAAAAGATGTTCTTGAAAAAGATCCAGCCCTTGCTTTCATGGTATAATAAGATCATGTCAATCTGTTTAAAATACGGAGGGTGCCAAAAAATGCATACACATTTTAAGACAGGAAACGACTATGTTATCTACTATCTACTCAAGTCAAGCTTGACTTCTAGACGATTAAAAGAGGTGCTCAAACGTGACTTGTATTCATCTTTTGTTATCAGTGCATATTGAGCATTACAATTTTAATACAGTTTTTTTCTTAAAATATATATACATTTTTTGGCACCCTGTATATATAATTTTTTTTTTCAAAATCAAGATTTACACCTTCTTGCAAGTTTTACTTGTCCTGATTTCAATAAAGAGATGCTCATGCATGATAGGAAATGGGACTTCCTAAGAGGTTAAGATTATTTCTTAGCAATTTGTCAATTTTTAACTAACTTTAATAATACCATAAAAGAGGGAATTAATGACACATTTGAATGATTAAAATAAGATTTCCCTAAAGGATATTTATTTTAAAGTTAAAGTTAAACTTATTACCCACATTTGATTTTAACTGGAAAACCTATTTATTTGATTTGACAAAGGAACAGGTAGAGAGATTAGAACAAATTAGGAAACCAGGGTTTTTTACTTAGAACTTTGGGCAAGTCCGTAGCTGCCAGGGGCCAATTTCTTATCTGGAAATGAAAGTCTTCATGTCTAAACTCTCTTTTGGTGCTAATGTTCTTATTGTCTATGATTTTTTTCTCTTGCATTTATTATCTGTTAGGCATCTGTTGTGGGCTTCACTGACAGGCACCGGGGATGCAAGGTGAGCCCCACTCTCAGGATGTATTATGGGAGTGTGAACATTTATTCAGTGTGTTATAAATATACGATATAGAAATTATAATATATAAAAAAGAAGTATTATTTAAGTATAAATTAAATATTAAGTATAAATTTAATATAATCTATGTAATATAAATATACATAAATATGCAATATGTATTAAAATTTTATTTACTGTATTGTATTCTATGATGTATTTGTGAATATATGAGGTATGGTATACACATGTATAGTTAGCTGGATAGTTCTGTTTTGGATTCTGGTGTATGGTTCTCAATAATATTTCCTTTTTTTTTTAAACAAAAGAGAAGAACATAAACAAACAATAAACTCTGGAACATATTTCTTATGTAATCTCATAGAAAATTTTAAGAATCTTGTTCACCTAAAATTGATTCTAAGAAAAAAGATCAACAAGGTTTATTATATCTAGGAGCACATTCAGGATTCTAGTTTCGATATAACAGGTTTTACTAACCCCCATGTAAAATAAATGAATGATTATAAAATCGTTCAGATAGTACCTACAGAGTATTTGAATTTTTAAAACCCATGATCATCACAGCCAACACTATTAATGGGTAAGATAAGAAAATGTGTTTTTTAAAGGATAAGCTTGTTAAGTCTCTCAAATGACATAAACAACCATTTATATATTTTTTTCTGTAAATGCCTCCTTTATTTTTTTAATTTCAGATTACTATAAGGGTCCATACGACTATTTATATTTATGGATGACAGGATTGCAGAAAGGTAATGCTTGCTGGTTAACGCTGCTCCAATAATTAAAGCTCTCTTCTTCAGAAAGGCCTTCCTCCAACGGCCTTGGCAAATTCCTGTGTCTAGTTTGCACTGATAACGTCCCAAGCAGTAGCTGATGAAGGCGAGTTAAATGCCTTTCTTTATATCTTGACTAAACACGTGGGCACAAGGGTTCACAAAGAATCCCCAATCCACTCAACGGTGGGGCATGTTTTATTTCACAATCAAACTTTCCCCCACGCCAATTCTAAGAAACATAGTTCAGTATGAGCTTTTGCTGAGTACAGCAGGACAGTCTTTAACTTGGAACACAGTTTGAATTCTACCTACACCCAGGGTGCCTTTATTAGATTGAGAAAGCCACGCATACCTCCCACATTGTTCTTGTAGGTGTTATATAATTCTTTTACTCTTCTGTAACGAAAAGCCAACTTCCTCATCCAGTCCACTCCTCCTCTTACACCTGTTGGCAAACAAAGGTTTGCACTACTTGCAGCTGCATGGAAGCCATCAGTTGCAAAACTGTAGGTACTGCAACACCCAAAATACATTAAAAAGAGATAAAAGAAATAATTACATGTGCAAAACTCCATGGCTGAATTTCTGTAGGAAACAGCAGACTGAAAGGCTTGGCTTACCTTAAGTCTTGCCCATTATCATCAGAGGAAACATCATCTATGTGAACTTGATCACACTCCTGTGAAAAACAGTGGAGACATTACTTGAAGGCTTCCCCATCTTTCCATTTGATCGGACTACGGCCAGAAGATGGCGGCATGTACCCATCCATCCCACCATCTCAGGCTTGTTTTCTTGGGCTGGAGAAGGACACCATTTCTACTGTCCGAGATCTAAATCCAGAAGACTGCCATGAAAAGGGCTCAGAAAACATGTGCCATGAGGGTTTTGTAAAGAGCAATTTGAAAAATGATTTTACTGTTAATATCATTGGTAAGAAATTCTCTTCTGAATCTCTGTAATCACTTGGGCTCTTTGCCTGACATTTCTGTTGTGCATGGCATGGCTAATCCGAAGATATAAAAAATCCTGTTTGGTCTGCACATTTTTGGTGGTTACTATTATTTATCATCTGCTGAGAGGCCACAGAAGGCCATGTCCTCAGATTAGGGTGTCCTGTGAGGTTCCCATGACTTCCTGTTGGACCATAGATAACCACCAATGAATCAGGCTCGTGCTCTTTTAAAGGTCTTGGTCTTTGTAAACAGAAAAAAAGGTAATAATCACAGAAGCTGATATTTTCTTTTTTCAGGTTTTAAAATTATCAAACAAAAATTAAGTATAAATAAAGTGAATTAATGAAGATTTTCTCTTTCAAATGTGCTATAAAACTCCAAGGCTAATAAACTTCAGGTATGTATACCCACACAGTTGGCCTAATTTCTAGTAATAGAGTGCTCAGAACAAATGGTCACTTTTCAGGATAAGAAGTCTTATTCTGCCTTTGAATAATCTGTAAAGTTCCTATGAACTACTATAAGATCTGAAGGTGGAATTTGGCGAGAGCATTTAAAATACCTAGTCCTCAGAATAAATATACAATAGCCAATGGTAAATTCTTATAGTTTACAATAAACTGATTCCTTATAATATAAATAAGCTCAGAAGAAGTATGGTCTGGCATCTTGGCTCTATTTTTCCCTCTTGAATTATTTAATCATACAAATTCTGACTATATCTATAGTGCTTGGCATTCAAAATCAATTAAAAAAAACATTCAGTTTGAAAATATGCCATACTAAACAAAGGTTTTTCACTTAATATTCTCCAGCTTTCTACACAGTATATTAATCCTGTTTCAGTTTAAAGATAATCTAGCCGACTCCTCTAAAATATAAAACTCAGGACAAGCTTAATTAGTACCATTTCAGTATGGTAACTTGAAAATCTAGGTAAATTAATTTTAAAAGTTCAAGTGATTTACATAAATTATAGGTTTCGTATTTTTGAATAAATCTCTACCCATATTGATAGGTGAGAGGCCAGAAAATTTAATCTGACCCTGTGGGTGATATTTGGTTCAATCTGGCATGGAGTAATCACTCTACAATTCTGTCTTAAATAAACGTCAAAATGCTAGACAAATGATAGTCCTCAACAGGATTACCACAATCATTTAAGTTTTATAACACAAAGTTCAATAATGTAAAATAAAAATATTCTAGATGGCGAGGACTGTACGAAGATATTTCTATCAAGAGTGGGGGACAGGGAGAAAGGGCAGAGCAGGTGCTGAGGCTGCCCAAGCTGTGAACAGACAGTGACCAAGTATTAGTTGAAAAGAGTCTAGTTCAAATTGTAACCAAAAAGAGGCATTATGCTTCTAGAAAAATCTCGGGCCAAGGTATTGCATGCAACCACAGTAGCTGTTGGACTGGACTTCCAAGGGAAGGGTGAAGAGATTTTACCAGTTAGCAGGAATGTTGAAAAAAAAAATTCTTTTCCCAGAATATGGAGGCCCCATAGTAGTTCCAGAAGATGGGATTACTTCTTACTTAGAGATGGAGAGTACATTCTTGGAGAGTACATACAATTTACACCAAAATAAATCACTAATGAAATAGTATCACATGAAGTTGCCCATTCCACTGAAGTTTTCAAATCATTCCTCACATAAATAATTCCTATGTCTTTCCTTCATAATAAACTAATGTTATCCCCTCAAAAAGGGGAGGGGATCCTTAAAAATTATAATAAATCAGAAGGTATTTCTATATTTAATAGCCTCTCATCCTATTTTTAGAGAAATTCCTCTGACATTTTAAGTATTAATTCACATGATTAATTTGTGTATGGGTTGCCCAAACATTTATTTTTTACTCTTGGGGACAACAGTATATCAAACTTATTAGACCATGAACTCCGTATTTAAAGTTATGTTTGAGGTTTTTCCAAATCTAACTTCTCCTTCAATTTATTTAGGCCTAGTTAACTGTGCCTGTTGACTCTGGAAGGTTGCCTGAGGATTACAGTCCAGTGAAAGAAACCTGAACTTCAATTAGTTATATTTTTAGGAAAAGCTAAATAATTATTCTTCAATCAGTTTTTACTCTGAGGAACTTTGCAGGAATCCTTTAGACCAAATGTGAACTACTAAAAACAGTCTGATTGCTCTTGTGAAACACTGCGCAAACTCAAACATTTGAAATAGTTCTGATAGTAATCTTCAATTTTTTAATTATGCTCTTGTAAAGCGACCACCAAGTTGTCACTGATATTTATCAGTTATAACGCACAGCAGTCCTCTCTCACTTTTGCAATCTCAAACTCCCCGGTGTCTCCTTGTCTGGAAGTTATTCTAACTGAAACAGCATTTTATTTAAACACACAGCGTTGTCCGCTCAGGGGGAGGATTAGCGGTGTCCTCTCGGGGGGAGGAGTGAGACAGCATTTGCCTCTCTGCAGCTGGGCAGGCTGGATGCAGGGAAGTGTCTATTAGGAGGATTTAATTTTGTATCTTTTAAGGAATTGGGTGAGGAGCAGCTGCTACTACATATGTTGCAGTGTCTATTGAAGGATCTGAGTCTCAAATGTTATTTTTAGGTTAAAGCAAGAACCCTGAGAGGTTAAATATGCCAAAAAAAAAAGCTAATGGTGGAGTCACTCTCTTGAGGAATTCTTCTCTTTGTCAGCAGAAGTGAAAATAACTTCATTCCAGTTACGGAGCCTGGGATACTCTTTGGTTGCAAGAGGTATAGTGAAACAAAACATGGTATGAGAGTCAAGTTGACAAGGTCGGATGCAGAAGGACGGAAGGGATGCATGTAACCATCCCGAATGTTCTTGAAAGCTATTATTTTGATTTCATTTAACTTTAGTGCTTCTTTATCTCACTTAACTCAGTAATCAACTTGTCTGACTTGGGTACTTTATCTGGCCGTGCAGCAGGCAGGTGTACGTGCATGTTTGAGAGTTCAGTCCATATAGCATAGAACCTCCAGAGTTCACCACCTCCTTACACTGACCACCTCCTTAAGTTGACCTGATTTTCATGGCCTGGACATGCACCACATGTACGTATCAGTGCAACAGAGCTAGTTCCTTGTGTGGCCCACCTCTGTATGTCAACCAGTTACGGTTCTTTTGGTGGTTAACTTACAGAGGTCCTACTGTATATGCAGAGACTCAGTTATTTCATTAAGTGCAGTTTTATTAGAAGTCCTGTCGGATATTTTAAAAATACATACAACATAGTAATTGAACTAAAATAAAAAGTCTTTAAGTATCATAGATGAATATAACATGCTTTTGATGTACTAATATTCATTTCAAAGTTGCAAATTCATTACATGTATATGCTACTTTTACCTTCTGACTTTAGTGTTTGTTTAAAAGTTGAGTAATAAACTTATTCCATCTGGCTTCTAATGTGCCACTAAAAAAGCCATTTTATTCCATTTATTTCTAGTAAAAAATAATTAACCAAATGAAATAAACGCCATAAAACTTGGATACAACCACATAAAATTGTTTTCTTTTTACAGCTTTGGAAGAATTAACACACTGAGAATTTTCTTTATTATAAGACTGACCCATATTAACCAACAGAAAAACTAACCCCAAAAGTTATCACTACATACAAAAAAAAATCAAGTTCCAAAAAGGTTAAATGTGTTTTCTATTGTCTGGTGTATATATAAAATACATTCTGTGTACTAGACAGTAATAAGAAGCCGGATTAATTTAAATCAGGTTTTATAGAGGTGATTTATTATTTTTTTGTCATCAAAAACTTGAAAATTTGCCCAGATATTGACTGATCTTTTATATTATCCATTACAGAAAAAAAGGCCACTTTAAAAGACAGTAAGTTTATTATCCAGTAAAAATACTGAATCCCTTTAGAGAAAAAAACAACGCAATGCTATTATACAGATTTTCAGCATGTACATTTCATTCATGGGATGATCTGAACCATTCATTTTTACGCTCATGTCTCCAGCATAACTAAAACTTGACCTCAGACTTTGTCAGTTAAAAAAAACTTATTTAAGTCACTCAATAACTTGGCTGTTTTATGCTTTTTAAAATTTCAGCAGGGTGTGGGAGAAAAGCATGTGCTCCGGAGAGAGGCAAATCTTTCAAATTCTGGTTCTACCCATTCAACAGCAGGTAAGCCTGGCTGCGATTGTTATGCTATGAACCCTATAGTTTCTCCCCCGTAAAATTAGTGTGATAAATATATTTATTTGAAGATATCGTGAATTAATTAATGAAAAGCCCAATATAAGATATCTAGAAGTAGGTGGGGGTTCAGTGATCATAATTTCCCTCTTCATTCATGATTATAGGTAAAAACTTCTATTTTATCGTAAAATCATGAGATAAATAATAAATTTAAAGACATCATTTAGAAAAAAAAAAAAAGAGAAATACTTATTTTAGCATAGTCATGCTTGCCTGACAAGCAATTCTGCCACATGCACAAACCACTTAGTTATTTCAGGTTCTACTATCTGAATGTTTTATAACCAAAGTCACGAGCACACAGACTGCACGCCTTACTGCAGTCCAGATTCACCTACTGTGGGGCTATTTTTTTCCTTGGGCCTTTTCATCTTTTTGTTTTTGTTGCTTTTACTTTCTCTTCCTCTTATTTGCCATTTAGACAGTGTGTTGCCATTTGAGGTTGGAAATGGAAAGATAAATTTTAGAAAAAGAGAATGTAAATACATTCAAACCCATCAAATGTGTTATAGAAATAGCTTAGCACTGCTTTATCCAGGAGATGAGGAAATAAGGAATAATAATGTGGTCTAAAGTTAGATTTCAGATTATCTGCAAAATGTAATGATCATGCTATCATCATGAGTGGTATCTGTGAATACTGTCTAGTGATTAACCCATGTAGCGTCCTGGTTAGTCAACCGGAACAGCTGATGTCCACGGCAAAGGTGCCAAATGGGTTGTGGCTGACACACTAACAGAACCAGGAGCAGAGTACGGGACAGAGGAGTTGACCATCAACTCCGACACACTTTTGCTCTGTGTGTGCACGCCAGTGCATATATGGTATTACTTGTGAACACAATTTAACTTTGTATTTGTGTATACACTTTTCCCTCTTGACGTGAGCTTTGTGGTTCTCTTGAATTTCTATCTTCCCGTCGTCTTGGGGAAGATACAGAAACCATCTAAGAGCTAGTGTTGGATACGCTTCTTCCCACCTTTCAAAAGGCTTACCTCTAAGTCATTAAAAAACAAATGTGTGTCAGCAAGATTAAAAATCATTTCCTCCATGCGCAGTCCAAGGGTTACAGCCATGGGGGGATCCTGAAAAGAAAATGCACATGTAATGAGGCAAAATTTCAGTAACCACCAAAACATCTGAAGGGCATAATTGCTGCGGGAGGAAGAGACTGCATGGGCTTTTGCTGATGATCCAAAGTCTAAATCTAGTTACCTAAAAAGGTGACTTTCCAGAGACTCAGGACATAACAAGTGCACTGACTCATCTGGGAATTCAGACATACATACAGATGGCTCAACAGACATTTTCACATAAAGCCAACTGGTTCACATGGCTCAGTTTACACATAATCCATGGGAAGTCTTTTGGAGAAAGGCATTTGGATGGGGTACTGGTAAAAAGAGGAAAGAATGTCCCTTTTAGAATGGTAACAACCAGAATTAAAAGATAAAAGTATGTCAGTTGGGTGTGGGTAAGACTTGGAAAGACAATGTTTTCTTGGGGTGGAAGAAAAAGAACTGGTGCTGGATGGTGCAACCAGCACGTCATAATTAATTGCATTTTGATCAACAGGGTAATAGGAATCTCTAGTCAAACGTGTAGAGTTTGGTCTCATCTGAGTTTGACTAGGGGAGAAGAGGAGAGGGTTGAGGATAACTAAAAGAAAATTACCTCCATAGACGTAATCTAGGTAGAAAATACATGCTTTTGGCCATTTATCAAAAGTAAAGGGGTTAACAAGGAGTCCAAATGACTCAATTTTTGTTTACAGAAACCAAGATATTAAACAGCAGCAAGGACCTGAAAATCAAGACCAGAGCTGTGACTTTACCATGATTAACTACAGCTGAAGACTTGGCAGCAGGCAGCGTTAGGGCTAAAAAGTAGGAAAGTTTAGGGATAGCAAAGGAAAGTAATTCATGCACAAACATTGTGTTTAACATTATCGAAGTTGGAATGATCTCTAAAGGAGAACTGCTAATAGGTGTGACGCTGAAGATATGGAAAATAGAAGACCTGGACGCCACCAAGCCTTTGAATTTGAGACCAACCAAGGGGGTGTTAGCAGGGAGAAGAATATGGTTTGGAATGAAGCTGACAAATCTAGAAGGATAGTATTGGTGTTGGCTCAGAAGTTATTTTGGAAGACCTCAGAGGGTGATTTGGGTTGAGTGGCTGGGCCAGGAGCCAGACTGGAGGGATTTGAGAAGAGAGAACCAAAATTGTGTTTTCAGTGCTCTAATAAATGGCATTTCAAGAAATGTATTTAAATGTGGGGAAATGTTAACTCTAACTTTACTTAATTTATGATAAGAACACACAGTGCAGGTCTGGCCAAGCAGTCTTCGTCTATACCCACTACTCCCCTGAACTGATTCCACTCGCAATGAGAAGGCCCCCCCTCATGCCCTCATGTCACACCTCCATGACAACCAATCTTAGGCCTACGTTTCCTTCCATAGTGCTCTGAGGTGACAGCCCCAGACTCAGTGTGAACACGCCTACATGCCAGCTCTGTGCTCTGCAGCCACTGCAGCCTGGAGACCAGGAAGGGCACGCCAAGAGACAGGGACTGAGCGCAAGGGGTCACTCGAGTGTGCGGCTCAAAGCTAAGACTTGATGAAGGAGAATATGGAGATAAGACAACAATAACATGTTAGATTGCAACAGAACTTTCTAATTGTCTACATCTTCTCCTTTGAGATTTCTGTGGATCTCAGGGCCCAATATTCTCATTTCTCAAAAATGAATGTTGCCTGTCCATACTTGACAGCCTCCTGGCCTCATGTTCTCCAGCCAGCCTGACTCTCCCTCCGGATCCATCTGCCTTCCTCCAGGGACAGGACCACTTGGGGCAACAAACCCAAAGATCAAATACGTGCTGTTTTCTCCAACAAATGTTCATTCAAAATAAGAACAGACATATTCTGCGCCTGTTTTGTGTTTTCAGGAGTTTTAGAACTCAGCAGGATCCCTATCTTTTCCTTCATGTAACATTCTTTCTTTTTTTTTTTACTCCTTTTTTGTTGTTCATGTTTTTCTTATAGTTTTTGAAATAAAATCTCTGATGGTCGAATAAACTGTTAAAAATATTTATACGCATTTTGTCTTTTTTTCTCTTTAAAAAATTCCTATTGCTAGTCTCTCTTTTGGGGGGTCTGGGGAGGAGGCACAGGGTAGGCACAGAACACAGAAACCTTGTAAATATTCTGCCTAGTCATGGAACCATGAACAAAACGTCTACAGAAATATCAGGAAAAATCAAATATAATTACAGCATGAAAACATGTAATTCCATTAGGGACGCTCTGTGCTTTTGAGGAATGTTCGCTGATGCAAGACAATGAAACTGAGCTCCACGCTCCTCTGCAGGGCTGCTGCTGTGGACTGCCCTCCAGACGTGGATTTCAGATGGGGGCTCAGAAATATCTTATTTAAAAGTTTTCCTCCCAGAGACCAGGTTGGCTAGACTCTGATCCAATGATCTGCCAATTTTTCTTTATAAGTTTTAAATAAAATTGTTGAACGTCTATGTTCATTCCTCACATTTTTTGCATTTACTGATCGGATTTAGGGGGATGGGAAAAAACCCACTATCCCTCTTTGATTGTTAAGTTGATCAATGCCATGCTTCTGAAGCACGCAACTCTCTGTGTTACCCAAACAGTGATAGGAAAAATCCCATGAAGAATGCATTTGGTACCTCTGATAAGCATGCAAACAAATACCGTTTATTTGAGCTGCAAGAATCCTCCAGCAAGCAAGCCTAGCGTATGGTATGATGAAAACTGCATTTGAGCACTGCATTGGAATGCAACCCCATGGCACTGGGAGGGCTGCTGCACATTTGTTTTTCAAGCTGCGGCGATTCCACATCACACACTCGGCTAGAGCCAGAACTTAGTAAGCATTTTGGCAAAATGATCATTTGTTAACTGGGAAAGTTTAGGTTTGTGGTTTGCTGGAGTGTGAACTAGCTGCATTTTACTAACATTTCCAGAGAGCAAGGCCTGTTGAAAGGGAGATGTTTCGTCAGCCGTGCCAAAGGCTTGGCACAGATGGGCTAGGGAGTTATGCCATAAGCCAAGGAAAACCAGGCCTGTAAGAGGCGGTGATCTTGTTTCTAAGAGAACGTCTGGTGAGGGCTTACTTTCAAATATCTAATTTTGCTTTTTGTTTTTTTCCAGCTTACTAAGTCACTGGGACAGCTAATTCTAAGTAAGCAGATTACACTACCGCATTCTTCCAGCTAAAGGCCTCACAGACCTAAGAATTCAAGAAAGATGACTGGACATTTGGTGTGTGTAGTTTTAGAGATATCCTTGTGTTGGGCACCATCTGTCTCGCCAAAATACCATGAAGGGGCTGCCAGTTCCACTGTTTTATCAGGTATTTGAGAGTGAAACATACTTCTGGGTTGAATCCAAGTTTTATACAAAGATGTTTGCTCATTTTCATTAGATGTTCGTAGAATTATAGGCACCTTATGAATCAAGAGTTGCTGGGGTTTTTTCCATTTAACGGTCGTGAGTGTTGAGTTTAGGGTCTAAAATGAAGTGATAGCAAAAACTTGGATAGAGGGAAAAAGTGGGATAATAAAGGCACTAACAGGGTTTTGTGGAAGCTCTGATACATATTACACATGTATAATAGTTCCAAAAGGTTCAAAGTGTCTACAACAGAGTTTAATACAGGGAAAACTGAACTTCTGCCAATTTGTTCTGTGTATTGCTCTATCAAAATACTGAAAACCATTCCCAAAACATTTTATTGAAGGGAGAGGGAGGGAAAGAGGGAGAAGGAGGGAGGGAGAGAGAGAGAGAGAAAGAGAGAGAGAGAAAATGAAGAAAATAAATAGCTCTTGGCCTTTCAATCTGTGATCCTTAGCCAGATGTTACCAGTGTAGAACCAAGTCAGGATCAAGTACAGCACTTCTCTAAATCAAAATACGAACGCCTATTAGCCATGTTAGCACAGAGCATAAATTGGAGCCAGACTGTCTGTCTATGGGCCTCTGCCCTGCGTTGGGCCATCAGCTGGAATTCCTGCTCTAGGGACACACTGTAAAAATATCTCTGGAGAGGCAGCAATTATGTATTTTTAAAGAAATGGAGGACTTTTTTTTAAGGCCTCCAGCTCTTGGAACAGTTATTCCTCTGGGACCTGAAGCACATGTGTAGACGTGTGCACACACAGACGGAAATGCAAGTTCATCACAGGAGACAAACCAGCTTTATGAACTGAGGATGGAAACAGTTGCTGGAATTTTGAAACTACATCAACTTCTCTAATCAGGGATAAGGGATAAAATGAAATTCAGTCACGAATCAGAGGGGAAACTTTACAATTGAGATTTTTGTCCATGATGGATAGGTAGTGGGCTTAGAGAGAATTTGGGGAATGGTTTCAGAAATATGCATTTATTTATAACATATGTAGGTCATTATAGAAGTTTTGAGATACTCAAAAATCAAGAAATAGGAAGCCCATGAGAATGGAATGAAAAAGAAGCCCTCCCAGCAACACCGATAAGCCAAGCATGCTGACACTTCCACGGGTTAATCAGAGAGGGTGTTGCTGTCACTGTGTTTTCTTGGAAGTGAAGTGATGGACCTTCAGACGGTCTGTCTTAAAACTTTCATAGTGGGTGGCACCTGTGGCTCAAAGAAGTAAGGCGCCGACCCCATCTAAAAACACTTTTGTAGGATCCAAGTATTTAATGAGTGTCTACTATGTGTCAGTCATGTTCAAATTCTGGGCAGAGAGCAGATAACCAACAAAGCAAAGGCCCTGCTCTTATGGGGATTAATTTCATTACTGGATGAGATCTCTGATAAACAGACACAAAACCAAGTAAATATAAGTTTTCCAGGTGGTATTGGGCTCTATGCAAAACCTCGGGATAGGCAGACCCAGGGATGATGTGGAGAAGTGACACTGGCCAATTTAAAGCCACCGCAGGGAAGATGCCCTGAATCAAATGCAAATGAGAGGCCCCAGCAAAATGAACCAAAAGGGAAAATTCAATGTGGGAAGAAGGTGGCTCCTCAAACTTGGAAAGAGTCATTTTAGGGCAGGAACA